TCATACTAATTCTGATGTTCTTTGCTGTGTAGAAACCCCTTAATCTGATGTAATCCCAGTTGTCTGTTTGGGGGATTATTGCTTGTGCTTTGGGGGGTCTTGTTTAAGAAGTCTTTGCCTACTCCAATGTCTCCTAGAGTTTCCCCAGTGTTTTCCACCAGTAGTTTTATAGTTTGCAGTCTTAGGTTTAGATATTTGATCCACTTGGAGTTGCTTTTTGTTAATAGTGACAGATAGGGGTTCAGATTCATCTTTCTGCAGGTGGATACCCAGCTTTTCTAACACCATTTGCTAAAGATGTTTTCTTTTTCCCACTGGATTGACTTGTACCCTTTGTCAAAGATGAGTTGGTTGTATGTTTTGGGGTTTATTTCTGGGGTTTCTACTCTGTTCCATTGGTCCTCATGTCTGTTTTTGTGTAAATACCATGCTGTTTTGCTGACCACAGCTTTGTAATATATTTTTGGATGCAAAAGTGAGATGCCACCTACTCCAGTCTTCTTGTGCAGGATAGCTTTAGCAAAATGGGGTCTTTTATGGTTCCAGATGTATTCTATGATTGTCTTTTCTATATCTGTGAAGAATATCTATTGTAATTTTATAGGGATTGCATTAAACATGTAGATTAATTGGGTAGGATTGCCATTTTGATTATATTTATTCTGCCAATTCAGGAACATGGGTTGTCCTTCCACTTTTTAGTGTCCTTTTAAATTTTCTTTTTAAGGTTTTCATAGTTTTCCTTATAGAGGTCTTTGACTTCCTTGGTTAGATTTATTCCTAAGTATCTTACACTTATTGTGGCTATGGTCAATAGAATTACTTACTTCAGTTCTGTGTCTGTCTGCTTGTTGTTTGTATATACAGTTGCTATACATTTTTGTAAGTTAATTTTGTATCCTGCCACTTTATCATATGCATTTATTACTTAGAGAAGTTTTTTCATGGCTACTACTGGGTCTTCTGTGTATACGATCACATCATCTGCAAACAGCTAATCTCAGCTCTTCTTTCTCTATTGGAATGCCTTTTATTTCCTTCTCTTGTTTGATCACATTGGCTAGAACTTCCAGTACTATGTTGAGTAGGAGTGGAGAAAGTGGGCAGCCTTGTCTTGTACCCATTTTTAGTGGAGAAGCTTTCAGCTTTTCTCCATTCAATATGTTAGCTGTGTATATATCCCTCTGAAGACCATTTTTGTTGTGTTACATACATCTGGTGTGCTGTTCTCATGTTAACTGTCTGAAGGTGTTTTCTAATTTTCACAGTGATTTCTTCTTTGATCTACTAGTTAATAGTGCGTTGTTTAATTTTTATGCTTTTGTAAATCATATTGTTTCTCCAGAGTTCAAGTTTCATTCTATTGTGGTTGAAAAATATTCTTTGTAAGATTTCAGTATTATTAAATGTATTAAGACATGATTTGTGGTCTAACATACAATTTGGAGAGTGTTCTGCGTGCACGTAGGAAGAATGTATTCTGCTGCTTTATATGTTCCAAGCATATATTTTTCTGGTTTAATTGGTTTATAGTACTTTTCAAGTCTTAAGTTTCTTTATTAATTTTCTGTGTAATTTTTAAATGATTATTTTTAATTTACCATAGGGTACATTTACTTGCAAGAGAGAGAGAGAGAGAGAGAGAGAACATCACCCATGGGAAACTGTCATGCTTCAATTCTTTCTCCTTATTTTTCCCTTTTTTCATTTTCTTTTATACTTTCAATCACATTATTTAGTTAACAAAATGAATATTTCAACAGGTGAACATTTCTCCCTCGTACAGTTGATAAAACTATAAAATATCTTCTACAGATAATACCACATTTCTTTGTCCTATTAATGCTTTGCCTCCCTATTTTTCTTCTAAATGTCCTTCCTCAGACCCTCCTCTTTCATACACACTATATCTGGTATTTACATCTATATACTGTGTTTTTATATCCTTTAGTCAATCAGTTTCAGTCATAGAGTGTGGATACTCGGTATGTATTAAGGGGGGACATACAATGCCTCTCCTTCATAGCCTGGCTTGTTTCACTCAGCAGTAAATCTTCCATATTCATCCACTTCCTGTCAAAAGCCAGGTTTTTTTTTTTTTTGTGGCTGAATAGTATTCCATAGAGGATATGTGCCACAGTTCTATCCATTCATCTGGTTCATGAATATTTGGGTTGTTTCCATGACTTAGCAATTGTGAATAGTGCTGCAATAAACATCGATGTGCAAGCACTTTTATTTCTCCCTTCTTTTGGGGTTTTGTACATGCACAATCAGTCACACACTTGGCATATTTTTCAGTCTGCCAGATCTGAGACTCAAACCACACAGTGGTTCCTGAGAGAATCCAGCTTCCTTAACCAGTATACCACTGGCTGGCCCTTAATACTTTTAAGTGAATTATTAAACTGTTATCATAATAAGCTTGTTTGAAGGCCATTCTTTAACCTAATTAATAAAAATACTCCCATATGTGTTTGCTCTTCTGCTATAAGTAGAAGTAGGATGAAACCAGTAGCTGTGTAGAACTGGGAGGGTGAAGGACTTGAATGTGGAGAGTCCCCTTTCCTCCTGGTTTATAACACTATGATTTCATGGTTCATGGAAATCAATTTACAATTCTTTTTAAAATATATTTTAAATTTCATTTTCTTTTATACATTCAATCACATTATTTAGCTTACAAAGCGAATATTCCAACATGTGAAAATTTCTCACTAGTCAGTTGATAAACTAAAAAATTACGTTCAACAGATAATACATTTCTTTGTCCCATTAATGCTTTGCCTCCCTACTTTTCTTCTAAATGCCCTTCCTCAGTCTCTGCTCTCTCACACACACTCTATCTGGTACTCACACTCATTTACTATGTTCTTATATCCTTCTGTCAATTTACAGTTCTTAGAAATAGAAAAAACAAATAAGTAAGCAATTGAGCATGTGCTAGTTCTTTTGTCTAGTTCGTAATGTGGTGTGGGCCACGCCCACAGGAGAGGCGTTGCAGTGGTGTGTGAGAGGATGGTAGCCCCGAGCTTTGGCCCTTGGAAACATACGTCAGCGTCCCCCAGTGACACCATGCTCCATCTCCAGGAGTCTAGTTCTCATACTGGCTCTTCGCAAAAGGCATCCAATGTGGACTTTTATTTTACGTATTTATTTTATTAAACTGTCTAGGTCTAAGTGATCTTCCTTTTCTTTATGTGTCCCGGAACGAGGAGGAGTAAACTAACTGTCCAGTTTAGGAAATGTGGCGTGAGTGTTCCACCACACCCCGTGGTGTTCGCGTCCTAACCCAGAGCACTGTCTGGTGGGACGTGTTGAATAGATGTGCTGACTGAAGTGAGCTGTTTCATTTTCGGCCAAGGTGTATCACATTTATCGTAGCTCTGAGCCTTCCACATACATACGCTGTCTCCGACACCCGCCCCAGGAAACCAGGCAGCTGCTGCGGAAACTCTTATCTCATCAGTGTCCACGCTGCTCTAGCACAGGGAGTTTGAGGAGTTTTTATGCTCGAAACATATCTTGTTTTCTGTCTTTAACCACCATCCTAAACATTATCTTCCCAGTTTATGGTCTTCACACGTCTCATGTCCAATTTTGAAAGGCCTGATAAAACATCTGAGAGTTAGACAGAGCCTGGATTTGGAGTTCAGTATGATCTTGGGCAGATCCTGTGTTACCATGCGAGTGGCTTACAGGACCCTTCCCTTATGCTGCCTTTCGGTCGGCCGTCAGTAATGATGACGCACAAGTAAGGGGGTGAGGGACTGGGAACCCTTGCACTTTAGTCTCCTTGGTGGAGAAGTGACCTGAAGTCAAGTGTCAGGTACTAAGATACTGGAATCACGCTGTAAATGCCCCACGTCCGCTGGGGATGACCATTACAGCAGAAGGCCGTCCGCACCAGGGACTCCAGCCACCACCCGCCCCCGCTTCCCTATGTATTACTCCCTTCTCAGAAAGCATCTTTTTATTTTTTCCAAAGAATTATTTTATTTAACTTTATTTATTTACTTATTTTAAACTTTTGACCAGAGAGGGACAGAGTGAGACAGAGAGAGGGGAGGGACAGAGTGAGAGAGAGAGGGAAAGTGAGAAAGCAAGCCACCAGGTTCAGGACTCAAACTGCGGTTGGCCATGTGGGAGTCCAGCACGCTTAACCACCATGCCACCTGCCAGCCCCAAAGGCATAATTTTTTAACCCAGACAACTTCTCTAATAATTTGTCCTGTAACGATAAGGGAATTAGTTTTACGACCCTCTGGGGACTATCACAGCGTGTGTTAAAAGTGCATTCTGTCTAGTAGCTCTCGGGACGGGGTGGTTCAGACTGTTCAGGTCTTTCGTTTTCCTTTTGGGAATCATTTTATTATTGAATTGGACACAGAGATCTCTGAAGTGGATCACACAGCATCAGAAATGGAGCAGGACCACCCTGGGAGACCCAGGGCAGCTTCATAGTGGCTGAAGTAAAGTCTCAGTGTTTGCTGCCAAGCATTCCTATTTTGAAGCATAAACTTCAAATCATACTCCAAAAATAAAATAAAACTTAAAATAAAAATGAACCAGAGGTTGAAATGGGCATGCCCTCTAGCAGAGATGGGCTAGAATGGAGTCAGGAGACATCTTAAATCTGGACATCATCTTTTTTTAAAATAATTATTTAATTTTTATTCATTCATTTATTTTAATTTGACGAGAGAGATGAGAGAGAGAGAGAGAGAGCAGGTCACCAGGTGTGGGACTCAAACCATGGTTGGCCATGTGAGAGTGTCCAGTGCCTTAGCCACCACACCACCTGCTGGTCCCCTGGAAATGACCTTTAAGACCAAGGCCAGTTCTTTAATTGGCACAGAGAAGTTAAATGATTATTTCCACACAGCTGGCCTGTGTCCCAGTGTCCAGACCAATTCTGCTAAGCTGCAAGTTAGGCCAAGGGGACAGGTGTTATTTACCTGTGGTCTCATGGCTTGGTAGCTGTGGGCAGCTACTTGCTTCTACCTCAGAATAAACCCTCTGCTTATCACTTTTCTGAGAGCGGCCATCACCTCCTTGTTCCTCAGACTGTAGATGAGAGGGTTCAGCATGGGGGTGAGGATGGTGTTGATCATGGACAGGATTTCATCCTGCTCTGAGGTGTGGAAAGAGCGGGGTGTCATGTAGATGACCAGGGCTGGCCCATAGTAGAGGCTGACAACGGCCAGGTGGGAGGAGCAGGTGGCCAGGGCTTTCCTCCTGCCCTCCGGGGAGTTCATGCGGAGGACTGTGAGGAAGATGAGAAGGTAGGACGACAGGATGAGCCCCAGAGGAAGGAGGACAAACACGATGCAGAGGACAGACACCACCGTCTCATACAGGGAAGTGTCCTCACAGGAGAGCTTCAGGACAGCGGGCATCTCACAGAAGAAGTGGTGGATTTCCCTGGGGCCACAGAAGGGAAAATGCATTGTGTAGACGGTATTGACAAGGGAGTTGAGGGCACCTCCGCCCCAGGACACTAGGGCCATCTGCAAGCAGACTCTTGGGTTCATGATAACTGAGTATCTCAGGGGGTTGCAGACGGCCACATAGCGGTCGTAGGACATGAGGGTCAAAAGGAGACACTCACCACCCCCAAGGGCAAAGAAGAAGAAGATCTGGGTTCCACAGGCAACTTTTGAGATGCCTCTCTTCCCAGAGAAAAAGTTGATGACCATCTTTGGGACCGTGGTGGAGATCAAGGCCAGGTCAATGAGCGAGAGGTGGCTGAGCAGAAGGTACATGGGGGTGTGCAGGCGGGAGTCCACCCAGATCAGGAGGATCAGAATGGCATTTCCAGTGAAGGCAGCGACGTAGACCAGGAGAATGGAGTTGACGAGGATGCCAATGTACTGCAGCTCTGGGAAAAGTCCCAGGAGAAAGAAATCGGTCAAGGTTCCATTCCCTCTGTCCATCTTCTGACCTCTCGGACTTGAACTGGAGGGTGTAGAAACAATAGAATATGGTGATGCTAGTGGAGTGTGCTGGATTTTATTTTTCTTACGATTTTACCAAAAAGGACTTCCTTTGAACATCAGTGTCATTGTAAGAGGGGGAAGGAAAGAAGGAAAGAGAGTTTAGGAGCTGGTATCAGGTTCTGTTAGAGAAGCTCTCTTTTTGGGAAGTCCTTTCGGGTAGGAAAGGTGCGGTATTGAGGTCAGAGTCTGGGATGCTGAAAAGCGTGCTCGCAGTCCTAGCATGCCTCTGGGGATGGTCCAGACACAGCAGGTCAGAGGAGAGTAGTCTGAGGAAATGGCTGTATCCTTTGGAAACAGTGGCTGGGGAGAAACTCCTAAAGGCAGTGGACAAATGGAACCGGACTGCATGGTATCCATGTCGCTGTTGTGTGAACGTGTGTGCGTGCGTGTCGCTGGTCTATAAATACTTTTACTGTCCCCAGTTTTGGACAGACTGCTCTTCGTGCAGCCTTCTGCTGGGTGTGCCTGGGGAGTGGGGCGGGGCAGGGCAGCATCTAGCAGGAGGTGCTTTGGTACGGAGAAGGGCTCCACACGTGGGTGGCCGACACAGGCCCCACACGGAGGACTCATCAGAAGCAGCTCGAGCTGGGGGTCCTCCGTTCCTCCCACACCCACACCCCTAAGGAGCCTGTAGAGAGTTGGAGATGTTCGGGCTTCCCTCTGCGTGCACACACATGTCTGCGTCAGTTTTATTCTAATTCGAAACACATGACGTCTGCTCTCCACCTGGCACGTGTCGGGTGAGGGCAGACCCCATGCAGTGTGCCCTCCGCCCTGCCCTCTCTTTACCTATTCTGCTGAGATCTGGCTGGCCCGGCCGGACCGTCCCAGCCCCTCTGGCCACTGTCTCGTCTCGTGGAACTTGCCCTTGCCCGGGGCTGTCCAGGAGGCCTGCCTCACACCTGTCCCAGACTAGAATCGCAGGACCAAGGGGACTGAGCCCTGACACTAAGCCTGACACAGCCTGCTGATTCTGTTAGTTGATAAACTGATCGGGTATTGAACCCTCAAGCAGTGGATGTCTTCACTTATCTGTGCTCGCTCTGTTCTTGGCGTATAAAACCTGAATCTGTGCTTGCTGACGCTCTGACCATCCTCCGCCGCCCGTCAGTGGAGCTTCTCTGGTGTGTAAACTCATGTCTTCCTCTGCTGCACCGCTGAG